AAAAATAAACCCCCCCCCCCCCCCCCCCCCCCAAAAAAAAAAAAAAAAAAAAAAAAACTTTTTCTGAATGAATTATTTTAATACACCAATGACCCTCCTTAGTACCCAATAATTGTTTAAAGCAATGAGTATGAGCTCAGATCAGGGCTGCCACACCTTGGGAATTTTCCCAAAATCTTGGGAATTCATTACCCCTCATTCAGGACCCAAGATTTTTTAAAACAAAACTCATATTTTCATAATCTTGGGAAATCTTGGGAATTATTTTGACAAAATCTTGGGAGTTTTAATTGGCTCAGATCAGTCCTTTTAAATATGGCGGCTTCCATCGAAATAAACAACACCTTTGTTTTGTGAACATTATAATTGTCTTAGTATTTGTTTATAATTTGTTTATACCATGCCTAGTGATAAGAAATATTCAAAGAAACGAACGTTTCATAAAAATAGATGTACTAAGCCTAATTTTTTACCTAGTGAGGAATGAGGATATTTATGGTCTTAAAACACCATATGCCACGCCCACCCAGAACAGGTCAGAAATTAAATTGAAAGAGACCTATGGAGTAAAATAATTCTTATTTAAAGTTAAAGTGAAGAAAGACATTTAATTTGAAATGTTTAATTTTAATAGTAACAGTTAATCAATAGTCAGAAATAAATTTAATCAGGCCAATTTTGTATGCCCAGTGGCTTAGCTAGGTCACTAGGGTTGGTGTAGCTAGGGTTGTCACCCCCCCTCCCCCCCCATCCTCCCAAGATGGATTTGTTATTGTTAAAATAGGTCCACAGTAAATTCTGAGTAAAACAATGACAAGAAAAGAAGAAAAAAAATGCTTTAGGGTAATGGAGGGCATTAAGCCAATTTAAGTTTAAGCACCATGTTTTCAAGAACTTTTTGTTTTACTCTTTGAAATAAATGAGTATTATTAAATTCAAACTGAAAATGTTTTTAAATAACAGAACACACATCTTTCTTGAAGTACAAAAGCTTTAACGAGAAAAATTTAAAGCCATTTAGTGAAACAAGGGTTTAAAAGTTAAAACTAATTATGACTTAAATTTAACAAAATGGGGGCAATTAGCTCCAGCAGTCCAGCATGTTCAATGCATATATTTTCACATAGGTTGTAGGCAATTCTGACACATCCATGCCATGGCTTCATTGGCTTCAATATCAGATTTTTCTGGGATTTCATTATCAAAACTATATTTAAAAATTTGTTAAACCTATTTCTACAAATTAATAACTTATGTTTTCAATTTAAACTTTATCTGTCATAATCTGTTTAATGCTATTTGAATTAAAACAGGGATTTTATTAATCTGATTAATATTATTTGGTTGTTTTAATCATCTTTTAACAGTTGGGGGTGTTAAGCCCCTGCTATTTAAAATATTCGTTTTTATAAACTAATTAAATAAAAAATAATCTACAGAACCGTATCTCTTTTACAAAATATGCTTCCTATTCAAAATATTAGAAGGAACTTTAGTATTAAAGTGAATTTTAGAGCTTTTTATAAACAATCTCTAAATCGTATCATCCAACTGCCATTTTACTTTGCACAAATGACCAGCTTCATTTGCTCTACAAATATTAGAATTTTAACTCATTCATTACATACACATAGTTAAAAACAAACAAAAAGTACTTGCTGAGTTTAGTTCTACTTGTTTTTGTATGTAAACTAAAAAACTTTCACTGTAGAAATAAAATTTCAAGTAAAATTAAACAAGCACCCTCTTAGCTGAAGTTTCACAAAGGGTTTGAGGAAGGCTGAAAACTAGAGGGGAAAAGCACTCATCTAAAAAGGCAAATTAAAAATCAATCTCACAGGCTAGAAACCAAGGAATGGTTGTGGAAAGTTCTCTTGATTGGTTAGTAAGTTTCTGTCAACTAAAGCTTAATTCCTTTCTCTCTTCTTACAATAATATCAAGCATTTTATTGTATGAACTGAGCAATTAGGGCTTAATACCCCATGGAGCCAATTACCTCCCTTTACCCTAAAGGCCATGAGGTAAATGTATTTAAGAACAACTGTATTTAAAAATTGATAGGAGACAGACTGATCAATACATTGATTTTGATCATGGGCCCTCAAAATATAGAAGTAACAACGTTAAGGTATGTTATACCCGGTAGTTATTTTTAAATTAATTTGATTAAAAATGTTCCTTTCCTGGACTTGAAAGTTGAAAATCTGTCAACCACTTGATTAAATGCAATATCCTTCACTGTATCACTTTTAATTGATGGAGCCAGATCAGAAAACCGTGACTGTCCCATGGACGATATATTGATATTCTAGGAAGTCCCATTCAGGGATGAATTTAAATATCAAATATTGAACAGTCCTTAAATTTGTAAAATTCAATGTCAGCTGCCTTTAGTGTCTTCTAAGCCTAGGTATTTCTTTTGAAAGTTCATCCTCTGATAACTCGTCAAAGAAAGTTTAATTTTGGAATGGACACCATTAAGTCTTCTTCACTTGCTGATAGTAGACTCTTGAGATTTAAACAGCCCCAGACATATCTGCTGCGTCCTTGAGATCGATGATTTGATCTGGAGTTCAGAATGAAAGCAAACAATGCTCACCCACATCTCCCTTCTATTTTCTTCTCACAGAGAGAGTCCAGCATCTATTGTTCTCCTTTTATTCTCTTCTTAAACCTTTGTGTTCTCTCGACAGAAATTCCATATGGGTCTGTTTTTAAAAGTACATTTTAATAGCATGTTCCACAAAGTGAAAGCGCTTCTCGTGCAGAAATAATCTTAAGGCCTCTATGTTGGTCACCACTTTGTCAAGAGTAAAGCCTTTACTCTGCAAATACTATTGTGTAAGAATAACTTCAAGTAGATCATCCCAAAATAAAGGTAGCAGATAACGTGAAATCACAGACAGCATATAAAAGACCTTGTGCTGTATAAAAATCGTGCTCTATTAAGAGTTGGTGCTAGTGACGAATCTGCGAAAATATAAATTTTTGATATTTCTGAGCTTCAATTTCAATAGCTTTAGTTTCAAAAACATTTTTTTAAAAATTTAAATAAATTTAAATGATTAAATATTTGAAAATTTTGTAAAATATTTTTTTTTTAAATCCTAAAAATGGGTGGAAATTCAATTTTAATATTTTTAATTTTATATTTTCAATTCATTTACTTAGAATCGTCCAACCATATCATATTTGGTTTCAGAATTTAAATATTGCTTCCTGTCATTTACCGAAGACTTCAATCGGCATTGAATAATGGTCACAAAGGTGTTGCATACACATCATTGGGATTAGTTGGGATCTCGTTTCATTATTTGACTTCAATCAAGCTTTTAAGTACATGTACTTAAGAGTATGTACTTTGACAGAAATTTTTAATATTGTCTAAATGCCATAAATGATACTCATTTTAAAGGGCTAGCTTTAGCGACAGTTCACATGATAAAATTAGCTTCAAATTTCACATCATATTTTCTGATTGGCTTCTTTTTTTAACAATTCAATTCAACAGTAATTTGAAAGTTGTGACAATGTTTCATACAAAAATCACATCAAATACGCGATAAAAAATTTGATAGTGTGAACTGATGCTTAAGCTTTATGAAAACATCAATTTCATCTTATCTTTTATAGAACTGGAGTTAAGATTTTTGGGTCGAAATTTGTATACACCTTATATTATAAACGATGTAGTTGACCCACTTTTCAAACTTTTGGACCATTTTACCCATATCTTTTATCTAAGGAAATTGTACTTAATTTTCAGGAGACATTCTCAATGCAATATACGACACAATAAAAAACACAGGATTTAAATAGCTTGGAGATTATTTTGCATGATAATATTTGAGGGAAACTTGATGAAATCCTGAAAAGTATCAAATGGGAAAGGTGTTTAAAATTATTTATAAAGGCGAATGCACGCAAAAAAAAAAAAAAAGGTATATTTTATTATTCAAACTACTTTTGCAACAATTCAGGACATGTGCAGAACAGTGTGTGGGCGAATTTTGGGATACCTACATTGAGACACAGCTGGTGTAAATTAAACAATAATAAAACTGTTTTAAGGTTTAAATATAAGAAAAAACACATTTTAACTTTAATTATGTAACAAAATAAAGCCTGCATCAATACAACCAAATAAAAAATAATTTATTAACCTATTCATAATATATTTATATCCTGTCTAATACAAATGAAGATAAAAGAAAAGGGTAAAACATTGAGCAAAAGTGTTGAGGAGTGTTCTTTAATTGATGATGATGGACCATTGCTAATCTGTTTGTTCTCATAGGTTACCACCTAAACGCTTTGTGCAGAATGCCTTGTTTTGTAATATTTCAAAGAACATGCATTTCTCCTTACCCAAATAAAAAAATACTTTTCAGCAAGTTCCATGCAACACTGAGCGATGCATGGGCTCATTGTCACAACAGGCCCATGGGCCCCCTGATGCCCCTAGATCAAAGGAGGAACTTCTACTCCATGCCAAAGATTTCATTAACCAATATTTCACCTCATTTGAAATGTGAGTATATGAATAAAATTATTTTCAAACATTGAATAAATCATAACGTTATCGACTTGCTTGTAGCTTTAATATAAAACTATAGATAAACGGTATACTTTAAAAGCTATACTAGTGTAGTTTAAATGCTATACTAGTGTACTTTAAATGTTATACAGTGTACTTTAAATGCTATACTAGTGTAATTTAAATACTATAAGTGTACTTTAAATGCTATAACAGTGTACTTTAATGCTATAAGTGTACTTTAAGGCTATAACAGTGTACTTTAAGGCTATAACAGTGTACTTAAATGTTATAACAGTGTACTTTAATGCTATAATGTGTGCTTACTATAACAGTGTACTTGAAATACTATGACAGTTTACTTGAAATAATATAGTACTTTAAATGCTATAATAGTGTTCATTCATAATAAATGTCGCACCCTCAGGGTCTATAGAGACCAAACAAAAGTGTTTGTAAAGCAAAAAGTTTAATGTTCTCCATAATAAACGTACAATCTAAAAATTATAAATGTTATTTAGATGGTTCTTTTTTAATAAGTAACAGGATATTCTAAAATCTCGCGTTCGTTAGTCTGATGTCGAAGATAGCAAGGTCATAGGTCTGCGAGTATGAGTCCTGTGAATCCCATTATGAATGGTCTTGTAAATGGTTGTGGTTAAGGTTAATTTTCACACGAGTTTTATTTCAGCTTTTAAGGGTATTCTACACTAACTTCGCTAAATTAATATCCCCCATATATAAATAGTACTTAGTTCCACATAATGGTCTACTAAATTTCCCTTTATTAGTAACTTCATTATATTACACCACCTTTCCTAAAAAATCACTAGCTTACCTTTGTTACTATGTAATTATATTTTTAATTACCCTACATCATTGTAAGCTAAATTGACAATCATATTCATCAACAGTTTCACATTAATTTTTTAGAATTTCAATGAACCAATTTAATTTAATTAGTTGAGTTCTTATTAATTAGAATAGTATTCCTTTAAAACAATTAAACTTATCAATGGAGTCTGTTTATAAAATTTAAGCTTTATTTATTTTTTCCACAGGAACAAAACACGGGCACATTTCCATAGACTTGGTGAGATAAACGACTTGATTGAAAAATCCGGAACCTACGACCTGACAATTGCTGAACTGACCTTTGGAGCGAAACACGCTTGGAGGAATGCCCCTGGATGCATTGGCAGAAGTCAGTGGTCAAAACTTCAGGTAAGCATACTAATACGTCGCATTGGGAAATGGCGTCGGTGGGCCGTCGAGTGTGAGCTCATATTGCCCCCCCTCCTGTCCTGTCAAGCGAAAATGCTGCATTTAAATCGTTCGCACTCGACTCTCTCGGAGGTGACCACATGGGGTTTGCCTCTAAGTGGCGTACCAGACTAGGAGGGGGGTACTGTTATCCTGAAGCCAAAAACCATGGCCCACTGCATGACTTCAAGGTAAGCATACAAAGGGAGGGAATTGTTTGGGATATGTGAAAACAAGGATTCTCATTTCCTGGGGTTTCATTTACCCTGGGGAAAAATGGATAAATTGACTGTCTTTTAATGAATGAGAAAAAAAATTGTTTGTTGAAAGGTTGGTAAAAGTAGCTTTATGAAAAACCTAAAAGATGTTTATGTGTAAACAATTCGTTTTGATTGTTGTCTTATGTGTGTAGCTACCTCCATGCCTAGAGTGACAAATTGTGACATACTGGTTTGTTGCAACGTAAACAAAAAATAAATAAATATATATATTATATATATACAGTGGAACCTCTCATAACGAGCACCTCTCATAACGAGTAATTCGCATAATTCGCATAACGAACAAACAAAAAATGTGAAGAAGTTGCTCCCTTAACGAGCAACATTTCGCATAACGAGTTACGCAGAAAGGGGAAGTCCCATTTTCCCTCACTTCTGCTTGGAAAAAACTTTGGCCATAGAGTGTTTTTGAATGTGATTTTGAAACAGTACCTGTGGAGTCTACAGTTAACAAGATTGGCCAATATCATGGAACTCTTGGTGGACAACAACGATATTGAAGAGCTTGTGAAAGAGCACAGTCAAGAGTTGACCACCGAAGAGCTTATGGAGTTGCATCATGTTTCACAGCAAGAAATTATGGAGATCTCATTAATGGAGGAAGTAGCAGAGCAACAATCTTCTAGCGCAATAATAGAAATGCTGAAAGCATGGGAAACTGTTGCATCGTACATTGAGATGCATCACCCTAATAAAGAGGTGGCGATTCGTGCTACAAATTAATTCAATGATAATGCTGTGACACATTTTCGTCAAATTTTTTGAAGTGTCGGCCAACAAAAGTCTTTAGACAGTTTTCTAGTTTAAAAGGATTATTTGTCATAAATTCATATTTTTATTTACTTTTTTTTTTTTAAATCTAAATTTTATTCCAAGTTGTTACACTCCTTAACAATTCATAAAGAAATTTTATTTCAATATATGTTAATATTTTGTTAATAAAAATTTTTGAAAAATTAGTATTTTTTCAGCATGGAATGCATTATCGTATTTTACATTGAATTGTATCGGGAAAATTGTTTCGTTTAATGAGTGTTTCGCTTAACGAGTAAGATTCTGGAACGTATTATGCTCGTTATGAGAGGTTCCACTGTATATCCTAAAAAGTTACTTCCCTGGATTGGAGGATTTCTCGTAAAATATTTTACATTTTGAAATTTGTTCAGGATAGCAGTATCTTGGGATCCCGCGAGGTTAATACTTCACGGACTCATGTATTATTCATGTGGGACTCTTTCTTTTACTCAGAGAATTGAAGTAAAATTTGCTTTACACCTATGAGACTGTTAATATAAATATAAAGGTCCATCAAAGCTGAATTGTTTCTCCCCATAGGTGTTTGATGCCAGGGAGATAGAGACACCCAGAGAAATGTTTGAAGCTCTTTGCAGTCACATCAGATATGCCACAAACGAGGGAAAAATAAGGTAAGTGGCTGTAGGAATTGTCCAGCGTAACCACTACAATGATCACATTGGGAATTAGTAGCTCAAAAAATATTTTATGTTTTGAAAGTGTGGCTAGATTGTTTGAAAGTGTGGCTAGATTGTTTGAAAGTGTGGCTAGATTGTTTGACAGTGTGGCTAGATTGTTTGAAACTGGCTAGATTGTTTGACAGTGTGTCTAGATTGTTTAAAAGTGTGGCTAGATTGTTTGACAGTGTGGCTAGATTGTTTAAAAGTGTGGCATTATTGTTTGAAAGTGTGGCTAGATTGTTTGAAAGTGTGGTGGCTAGATTGTTTGAAAGTGTGGCTAGATTGTTTNGTAGTGGCCCTAAAGCGATTGAATTTTTTTGACCACCCCCCATACCTCCTTTCCCCCCTTGTTCGCATTTGTTCACTTTTGAATGTCAACCCCCCAACCCTCCCCACCCAATCCTTCCGGATGTCCCCATACCCTGATGATTTTCATGGCTTATCAGCTGGCTGGACATAGAAATGAAACAATGCTACAGAAATATGTTAAGGAAAACTTTAAGAGATCTATCAAACATCTTTTCTTTACTCAAGTAGCTGAGAAAGACTCCACAAAATTAGACAGCACCCAAAAAAAACAGTTTTTCAAATAAATCCATTGTAATATGGTGCAAAAAGTGGAGGGGGGGAGGGTTAGGGCTGAAAATTTGACAAAGCATCAAAGTAACGCTATTTATAAAAGACTCCCAATTAGTGCCCCCCCTTCGCCCCGCTAGCAACCGCATATTTTTCTCACGTCAATGAACTATATTAATATTCTCATGTCCCACCGGATTTTACACTGCAGATTTTTTACACAATTTCCATAAAACAAAATAACATTGTGATATTTTGAAGAATCTTATTTAGAGCATTTATCATGAATTTTATTGGCATCTGATAGCGTTAAAGATGATTTCGGGTGGTGGGGGGTTAAAATTTGAAAGTCATCGGCAATGAGTCTGTGCCAAGTTTCAGTCAGATAGTTTGATGGGAAGTTGGTCAATTAGCGGGCTGAATAGTTTGCCACACACCAAGAAATAAACATACGAACAAAAGCAAAGTTATGATGAAGGATTAGAAAATGTCCCAAATAATTAATGGCACTAGGATTATTCCAGCTCCGTTCTTTTAAATAAACTGCTTAACCTATTCATTTTGAAACTTCACTCTGTCACAAATTTCATTTGAATGCTGTTGTCTCTGTCAAGGTCTACCATAACTATATTTCCACAACGCAAGGAAGGGCGACCAGATTTCCGTGTATGGAATACACAATTGATAAGCTATGCTGGCTATAAGTTGGGTGACGGGAAGGTCATTGGTGACCCAGCTAATGTTGAATTTACAGAGGTAAAATTTGGGCAAGTTGTTGTTACTTAGTTAATGTTGTACCAAGACATACATTGGTTTTGTAACAAGATATTCATTGGTATTGTAACAAGATATACATTGGTATTGTAACAAGACATACATTGGTATTGTAACAAGACATACATAGGTATTGTAACAAGACATACATTGGTATTGTAACAAGAAATACATTGGTATTGTAACAAGGCATAAATTTGTAACACATCTGATTTTGAGCACACTGATTAAGGATCGGAATCTGTTTTTCTTTGGTGATCAAAACGGACGTAAAAGAAACACTTTATATATACATAGCGGTTTTTTCACATTATTTGTATCCCCTAAAAAAACTAAATTCTCTTTTTAAAAATAATGTAGATGTGTGTTGAAATGGGCTGGAAACCAAAGCATGGCATGTTTGACCTTCTTCCATTGGTTCTGTCTGCTGCTGAAAATAGCCCTGAATATTTCGAACTCCCCACTGAGCTTGTGCTAGAGGTCACCTTGAAGCATCCCGAGTAAGTCTTATTCAAACCTTGATTCGTGATGCATTAACCAATCAGTCGCCTACATTTTTTTGCTTCTTTCAAGTAAGTTTCAAAGTAGTTTTTCCCATTCCTTACATGAAAGTTCGACAATTGACTACATACGTTAAAACATTAATATTTGAGAAGTATTTTATTTCAAGATTGCATATTTTAGTAAGAAAAGCAAGTTTGAAATATTATTTGAAGATAAGTGTCAAATGTTTGGTGACAGGACTATTTCTTAGATTTTGTTTACTGTCTATCATCCAGGTATCCCTGGTTTGCTGAAATGGGGCTGAAGTGGTATGCCCTCCCCACAGACTCAGGAATGCTCTTGGATTGTGGGGGCCTGGAGTTCCCTTCATGTCCTTTTAATGGCTGGTTTATGGGAACAATGATTGGTTCCAGGAACCTCTGTGATCCTCACCGCTACAACATGCTGGAGGTAAGCTGATGAAATGCAATTATCCTAATGACCTGTACATCAAAGGTGCCTCCATAAAAAGAAAAAGATTATAATTTGTAAGATTCCCCAAAGCCTCCAGTCAGGCCCCCACATAAAGCCTCCAGTCAGGCCTCCACACAAAACCTCCAGACAGGCCTCCACACAAAACCTCCAGACAGGCCCCCACACAACCTCCAGACAGGCCCCCACACAAAACCTCAAGACAGGCCTTCAAACAAAAACTCCAGTCAGGCCCCCACATAAAGTCTCCAGTCAGGCCCCCACATAAAGCCTCCAGTCAGGCCCACACATAAAGCCTCCACTCAGGCCCACACATAAAGCCTCCAGTCAGGCCCACACATATAGCCTCCAGTCAGACCCCCCACATAAAGCCTGCAGTCAGGCCCACACATAAAGCCTGCAGTCAGGCCCACACATGAAGCCTCCAGTCAGGCCCACACATAAAGCCTCCAGTCAGGCCCCCACATAAAGCCTCCAGACAGGCCCCCACATAAAGCCTCCACTCAGGCCCACACATAAAGTCTCCAGTCAGGCCCCCACATAAAGCGTTCAATTAGGTCCCCACATAAAATCCCCAGTCAGGCCCCCACATAAAGCCTCCATTCAGGCCCCTAAAGTCTCCATTTATGCCCCTAAAATATCAAGTCATGACTGTCTGATGAACCACGTACTAACCTCCATTCAGGCCCCCACACAAAGCCTCCAGACAGGCCCCCACATAACGCCTCCACTCAGGCCCACACATAAAGTCTCCAGTCAGGCCCCCACATAAAGCGTTCAATTAGGTCCCCACATAAAATCCCCAGTCAGGCCCCCACATAAAGCCTCCAGTCAGGCCCCTAAAGTCTCCAGTTATGCCCCTAAAATATCAAGTCAGGCTTGTCTGTTGAACCAAGTACTATTATTATGTACACAATCACGTTGAAGAGCAGTGACTTGGTCTGATGAATATTAAATTTCGAATTGAAGTTTTTTAAAAATTTCCAAATAGAGACACATCCATTAAAACACGTTTCCATCATTATAAGGCGTCGTTATATGCAAACCTGGGCCTTGTGTAAGTGTGCTTCTGTGTAAGTTTGTTTAGGAATCACTAACATTCTTATTTACCATCAGATGCATTAAAAACATTGGAAAGTTAGTTAAACATTGTTACACCTGTTTATAAAATATTTTAAAAAAATTTTGTTAGTAATTATACTACTTTAAAATTTGTGGTATCGTGGGGAGGGGGTTAAGATAAAATTTTATGAGTAAAATGTTTAAATTTGTTAATTTTTTCATTTTATAATTATGTGGGGAAGGGGCGGAGAGGTCGGGATGTCTTATGGTCTTTGGGGCAGTGAACAAAAGTTTGAGAACAACTGGTCTAAAGGTATGAACATATAATTTAATAATTTATTAACTTTAATCTACTTTTGCAATCGCATCACAAACTTAATTTCTGTCCGTCACCTAGAAAGTAGCCCTATAGAATAATATACATTTTTTTAAACTTAGCCGATTGGCTTAAAAATGGGGCTCAACACCGAAACTGCGTCATCCCTGTGGAAGGACCAAGTCTTGATTGAAGCGAATGTGGCTGTGCTGTTTAGTTTTGAGGTAGTAGGCTACTTTATTACATTTTAAAGATTTTTTTTACTTAACTGTTAAAATTGTTTTACTTAACATTTATTAAACACAGCATAAACCGACTAATGAAGAAAGTTAGGAACATAACACAAACTAAACATCCTTTACTGGAAAAACTATTTGAAGAAAGATGTTATTGTAAAACTAGACACATTTTGGTTGATACATCCCACCCTCTTCATCACAGATATTTAGGATAGGCCCGTTCGGGACAAATTCTTTCCGTCAGGGCGAGGACTGAAAGATATAAAAATTCTTTTGTTCCCCAATCTGTACGAATTTACCAGCGTGCCTACCCCTGAAGTCACAAATCTTTATGAAAACTAAGTAGTTCCTGATATAGTTACTGACTGGCTGCTGGTGAAAAAATATTACAAATGTCTTGTGTTCAAATTGTTTTTTATACGTGCTGAAAATGCACAATGCAATCATAAAACATTTCCATTTGTTTGGATCAATGAAAGAATCTTACCTTAACATTTAACATTATTTTACTCACGATTATGTCAATTATGTTCATACTTTGTTTGATTTTAAAATGTCAAGTAATGTTTACATTTATTTAGATAAACAATTCAATGATAAATAAGACATGTATATTCAAACTTTTACTTAAGTGTCATTGAAAAATAATGTGAAAATTTCAACACTTCAATTTATATAATATATGCCCACAGCATTAATATCGAGCTCACATTTTGAATTTTTAAAACTTTTATTAGTCGGCCAATGTTACCATCGTCAATCACCATGACGCCAGCACAGATTTTATATTACACATGGATAAGGAGATAAAATTAAGAGGAGGCTGTCCTAGTGATTGGGTGCGCATGGTGCCACCGATGAGTGGGTCGACTCTTGAAGTTTTTCATCAAGAAATGTTGCTTTATTATTTACACCCAGCCTTCGTACGCCAGGTTTGTAATGCTTTAGATTTTAAACTAGCATTTAATGTTACAATTTTCATGAGTAAGATATTCTAAGTAATAAATTTTAAGACATTTTCAGTTTTCTATGCTTTAAATTTTTTTTTCAATGTGTACAGCAGATCATTTTTTTACAAAATTCTTAATCATACATTATTTAATACTTCCAGTCTGTGATTACTTTCAGTCTATGATTACTATCAGTCTGTGTAGACTGTCTGTGTAGACTATCAGTCTATAGAGAGACTATCAGTCTGTGTAGACTATCAGTCTGTGTAGACTATCAGTCTGTGTAGACTATCGGTCTGTGTAGACTATCGGTCTGTGTAGACTATCGGTCTGTGTAGACTATCGGTCTGTGTAGACTATCGGTCTGTGTAGACTATCGGTCTGTGTAGACCATCGGTCTGTGTAGACTATCGGTCTGTGTAGACTATCGGTCTGTGTAGACTATCTGTCTGTGTAGACTATCAGTCTGTGTAGACTATCAGTCTTGTTTCAATACACCAAATGTAATAAAACATTAGCAGCTAAATGTAAAACTTTATCCCTTAATAGTTTGCCTGTTTGGAATATTTTCTATGACGAACATAACCGATTTTTTATTTTTTTAAATTTTCATGTAAAAAGGACATAAAGCCATGGAGGAAACATTCGTGGAAAAGGGATCAGAATTTACCTATCAGTTCATGCAACCCTAAGAGGAAATTAGGTTTTAAAGCATTAGCCAGGTATTTGAAAAAAGTTGTCTGTTGATATGAATTTAATACATTTAAAAAAATTTTTTTTTTTACAAGCTGTCAAAATGTGCTTGTTCACCAATAAAAAAATTAAGTTATTTAAACACCTTACCCAAACAAAAATATAAATTCAAGTCTGTAAGGAAACAAATATTAGAGAAACATTTAGAAGCCAAACATTGTATGCAAGGATTTTTCAAATTTCACAGAACAATTAGATTAATTAGAATAAACATTTTAACTACTACCGATATTTGCTGTATTGCAGAGCTGTGGAGTTCTCGGCATCCTTGATGTCAAAGGCATTGTCAAGCCGTGTCAAGTGTTCCATCCTTTATGCCACAGAGACTGGCAGATCTGAACGCTTTGCACGCAGATTGTATGAGATTTTCAAACCAGTCTTTCACTCACGGGTAATTCAAATGTTTTACTAGATTAACATCTGCTAATATAATTTTTAGCAATATAATATATTGCTAAAAATTGATGTCAATATGAAGCTTTAGTTGCATTCTATTTCCTCCGATGTATTTTCAGTTGGAATATGAAATTAAAGAATATCTTCTTTTTTTTACAAGATAAACAATTTTCTATATAAAATAAATAACCAAAGTTATTCTCAAGTCCCAACTAGTTCTTTGTGTCCACTCAAAAAATGCTGATAAATAGAATGTCTAACATTGGAATAATTAATGACAATTTGGGGGCAATGACAATGACATATTTCTAGGTTAAAATGAGATTGTTATAAAAGTGAAGATGTCAACAGTTGTCAGGTGCTAAACTGGACCAAACTCTCTGGAGACGTGTTAAGCATACTCAACATGATTCTGTAACAGTTTTTATTCACCCACTCCTATCACCTGTACCCATTCTAGCAGTAACAATCAATTATTCTTGTTGTTTTGGAGTCAAAGGATTGTACAATTTAATAAGTAATGAAATCAGAAGTATGATTTATGAGAGGTTAAATTATGCATCGAAGATTAAGAAATTTTATGACTAAATGTAAAGATTAAATCTCCTAAAGTTGCGGACGCCATCAACCGAATTTTAAGAGTGTTACACAATTCAACACTTTATTTTTTAACCAGGTGATATGCATGGATGACTATGTTGTGGAGTCATTGGAGCATGAGTCCTTGGTCATGGTAATCACAAGTACCTTCAGTAATGGAGAGCCGCCAGAAAATGGAAAAGTAAATATAAACAATATTCCCTTGTGTGTTGTAATGTATCATTTATCTAATCCTTTGTGACTCCTCTTTAAAAAATTTGTTTTTATACAATTTTGAACATTAATAATGTCTATTTTTTCACATGAATGATAAAAAAATTATTTCAAAATTTCATTTCAAGTAAACATTTATATTCTAATATCGAAGTGGCTATAGGTACCTTCTAATATATACATTTTTTTTCATATAAGTTTGAAATGTTTTTTTTTTTAATACACTTTATCTTTTAAAATATTATAAAAATGTTTCACTATCAGACATGGCCTCATTATCTCCTCAAATTTGTGTCTTTTAGCGTTTTGCCCAAAGTTTGTTGGATATGAAAAGGAAATACGACTGTGACCTCCGGTGAGTAAAACTTGACATTGGGATTTTATAGCCCACTAATTATATCCATGTTTTACTTATTAATCAAAACTTTTTTCATTTACTGTTGTCAACAAATGAAACATAAGAATGTTATAGGAAGGGTCATGGACAAAAAAATACATAAATTAAAATAAAAAATTGAATACAAAATATTTTTTGTTGCTTTACAGATTTGTGGAATCATGTTCTTCCATCTCAACATGCATTAAGAGTAGCATTTTCACTGAAGGTCCGTTGGGTGCTGATGTAATGGGTGACAAACAGTCCTTAGCAATTGGAACAGGACCACTTTGTAATGTCAGGTCATTCATTTAAATTATTCATAAAATTGTAAGATGTTAAATAACATTGTTAGGTTTAAAGGGATTCAAACTAATTTGTTGTGTTATTTCAACCAACCTGATTTTAAGTTTAATGTTTAAAAGTTTGGGTGTGAAACAGAAAAAAATAAAAGGCATTTCAACAGTAAACATTTGCCAGATGTGAAATGGTAAAAAAAACATTATAAAAACCCAAACATATTTATTTGGGATAATTTGTTTTTAATCCAATGATTAAACAGGTTTGCAGTATTTGGCCTTGGCTCCAAAGCTTACCCTTATTATGCTGCATATGGCAAGTATATATATCTCATGTTCCAAAAACTTGGAGCGGAAAGATTGGTTGATTTTTGCTCAGGGGATGCTCTATATGGTCAGGAGGAAAGTTTCAGGACCTGGTCATTGGGAGTGTTTAAAGTAAGCACATTTGTTTCTAATTAGATATTAGGTTATCACGTCTTTACCATATTTTCATGTTTATGGTTTTCAAATGAATGTTAATGTCAAATGCCATGTACATAATATTCAATGGCAAATAACTTGTACACATATCATCTTTCAAGGCCTTGTACATATTTCATTTGTATGAAACCTTTTATAAATATTTATATGTCAAATACCGTGTACATATTTAATATGCCAAATACATTGTATATAATATTTAATTTTACATACCTTGTAAATATTTTATTTCAGATACCTTGTAAATATTTATTGTCAAATCCCTTGTTATAACATTGTTAAATTGCGATAAAGCTTTAAAATAGATTAGACATAGTTTGTTTCAATATAACAATATATGTTAAGCTTTAATACTAATTATACATAATACACAAGTAAACGTTGGGGAACATGTCTTCATCGGTCAGAATAAAATTCTTTTTACTTTGTTTCTGTCTGGTTTTTGCAACCATTCCTTTTTTTCTAAGGTATTAAATGGCTACATATTAATGTAAATTTAATTTTTTTAATTTTTGTGTTATTTCATTTGTACAATACCATGTACATATTTAATATGTGAAATTCCTTGTACATTGTATTCAATATGTCAAATACCTTTCACATATTTCAGTTTTACAAATACTTTTTTAACTAAACCTATTGGAAATGTATAAAATGTGTTTATAACCTTTAAATTTTTGCATCAAAATAATTGTTTTTTGGCCATAGGCTTCAATTGAGGCTTTTTGCCTAGGTGAATATGTCAATACAACTCCAGGACCCCAAACCAAGGGTGACCTTATTAGCTGTTCACTTGACAAAGTCAGGATTGTGCCAGTTGAAAGTTGCAAAGAACCAGATTTATGTCAAGGTATTCATTTATCTTGGCTTATTTAAGATATATTCCAAATGGTGTGAGGAAATTAATTTCATTTTTCCTTTAAAAAAATTCTGACAAATTCAGAAACAATTATTGCTAAGTAAATCAGTTATTGTTAAATAATCGTTAACATTAAAGTATCAATAGTGCTGACATCAATTAAGGATTACAAAATAATGTACGTAAAATAATTTTTTTTTTTAATGCTCTCTCCATTTCTACATCAGTATTATCCAACATTCATGGGAAGGAGATAACGCCGTTCATGTTGTCTGAGAGAATCCAACTTCAGGCCAAAGATTCTGAGTAAAGAAATTATCTAATAACATTTTTAAAAATGAAAGACAAAGTGAATTTATCAATGAATCATTTTATCTAATCTCTATAGTCAATATAAGGTAGATCCATATGAAAGCTATAGGTAAATTAATAGGTACAACTGTACCATATGTTAAAGTTCTGAGTAGATGTATTTTTAAAAATGTTTTTCAGTCAGCAGACGATTTTAGTCAAGATGCACATGCCCAATGCCACTGACCTAAAGTATGCCCCTGGAGATCATGTGGGTATATTCCCTGCCAACTCTCCAGATATTGTGGATGCGATTCTTGTTAGGTTGGACACAACTATAGGACCAGATCAAGTAATAAGAACAGACATATCCACACAGCTTGGTAAATGGATTTTATCCCAACATTGTGTAGCTTGTCTGCACTCTTCATGCATTGTGATTGTACTGCCTCTTTTTGCATGTTTTATTGAAAATTAATATTTTTATTAAAATTGAAAAATTATTTGAAGGAGCAAGTCTCTTCAGTGTGGTCAAACACAAAATGTAGTTAATCATTCATTCATTTGATAGCACTCAAGTAGTCTAATAATAACTTTCAGCTTCCCATAATATTCGTATAACTATTTTTAATCATCCCAATTTTAAAGAAAATTTAAACAGATAAAATATTATTTGAACATTACAGAAGGAACCGATGAAACTTGGAGAAGCCACGAGAAGTTGCCCAATTGTTCTTTGCGTACAGCTTTCTCATTTTTGTTAGATGTGACCACTACTCCCTCACAGGAAATACTGCAGGTGTTGGCCAGTCAAGCCTCAAGTGACATGGACAAACATAGACTTCAACTCTTAGCTACGGTGAGGTTTAATCAAAATTCATTTTCCTTTTTAAAGTAAAAAAATTTTGTTGGGATTTTTGAAAACATAAAATGGGGTGGGGTGGGGTAAAACCAGTAAAAGTGAACACCCCCCTCCCCCGTCCCCCAAGTTGTCACCACTAAAACTTTCAACGACGCCCCTGTTTGTTCCTAGCATACATTAATGACCTACCGGAGAAACTGACATCACAGGCAAGACTGTTCGCAGATGACACAGCAGTGCATAGGACGATCGCCAACAGATCTGACCAGGACCAGCTACAACAGGATCTCAATCTGTTAGCTGAGTGGGAGATGAGCTGGGACATGGAATTTCACCCTGCCAAGTGCCAGACACTATCAATCTAGGGGGGGGGGGGGGGGGGGGAAAAAAAAAAAAAAAGGAACCCCCCCCCCCCCCCCCCCCCCCAGGGGTCACCACTAAAACTTTCAACGACACCCAAAAATAAATTATTTAAATAATTTTTTTCAACTTGCGAACCCACAAAAAAAAAGAAAAAAAAAGAAAATCTTGTATGTGTGGTAATAATTTACTACAAACATTTAACCGATTCTAATCCTGTACCTTTAAAATTACAGCCTCAAGACATTTTCCCAACTAGATCATTGACCCTGGCAGTCAATGTTTTCTTGCTATTATGTATCAACATACCAAACACTACTACTCATAACACTAGGTGACTGCCAATTACAAAAATTTAAAACTTTCATTCAACTGTTTCGACTGTATGATGTTACCCACTACACATGCCTCTTATTGTAATATTCTTACCATATCAAAATAATTTTAGAGCACTGTCCGTATTCCTTGACCTTTGTTCTTATTTCATACCTGATGGCAACATATCACCTTAGTCATCTGTGACAGACTCTACAGTTAGACATAGCCTACCTTTTGACCTCATGCTTCAAAATTTTGACCAGCCATTAGCAGTATACAACAAAGTTCGGCCCAGCCATTTGCAGTATACAATACAAATACATACTTTTCATTAAATATTGTATGTTAAATTATAACACTTTTATTGAAAGCCTCATAGGACAATATAACAAAAACAATTCCTAGGAGATTCTGATTTTAAACATTTATTACAGAAAATAGAATATTATATTCAGTTTATCTTCAGCAACAAACACCCCCCAACTGATTCTTTCAAGGATGGTCAAAATTCTCCTAATTTTTTGGAGGGAATTAATAGATGCCCCCTAAGGGTTATGAAAAACTTGCACAACTCAAAATGTAAGGTTGGCCGTAATACTTTGTGATAAACTTGCACGGGCCAAAAGAAAATAGAGCATAACTTGTGTGGTCCAAAAGATAATAGAACAAGGAGGGAAGCTATTAAGAAAATGCTAAAGAATATTTCGTTACTTTGCGGGCTGCAAAGTGAGTGATGGCTGGCCGCATGCGGACCGTAAGGTGTGCAGGCCTGGTTATGATATAGCAATTAAAAAAACAAAACGTATATTATATCTGAAATGGACTTCTACTGTTTAGGGCAAACATAGTAGTTAAAATTATAATTTTTTAAATGTCATCATATTTTACTCTATACAGCTTGACATCTAAAATACTTAAAACCTTTTCTTGTTACATTCCAAATTTTTAAAACAATGTTAAACCTCTTTTTTTTTTACCTCTTTAATTGCTTCCTTAGAATTCAGAGGCTTATGAAAAATGGCGACTGGACCTGAGCCCCAATATCCTAGAAATTTTGGATGAGTTCCCTTCCCTCAAAATTCCACCCTCACTTCTGCTGACCCAGCTGCCGTTGCTGCAACCTCGCTACTACAGCATCAGTTCATCCCAACTGAAAAACCCCAATGAGGTTCATGCCACCATTGCTGTGGTCAGATTTAAAACCCAAGGTAAAACAAATCTGTTAAAATCTTCTTTCTAATAAAAAAAATTGTTATGACCATTAAAATATATAAATCTGCTTTGTTTCAACATATTTTGACATTTAAACATTTTCGTAGATGATGGGCCTGTCCATGAAGGAGTGTGCTCATCATGGCTGAACCGAAGCCCTACAGGAACTGTAGTACCTTGTTTTTTGAGATCGTAAGTCATTTTAAAAAAAACTAAGATTATATTTTATTAAAATAAGAGAAACATTTAATAGATCGAAAATGAAATTTTAAAATTTAGACTCCACTAAAATGTCAAATTATGCACCTTTATGTTCATTTGGATAACTTATTTTTTTTATTGAATCAATTGATTCACTAATAATCTTCCTTGGATAGGTATATTCAGGAAGACTTGTTTTTTTTTTTTATTTGTAATCTATTGTTTCTGGTCCTAAGGGTACAAAACTGATATGTAACCTATTGTTTCTGGTCCTAAGGGCACCAAACTGATATGTAACCGTAAAGTAACCTATTGTTTCTGGTCCTAAGGGCATCAAACTGATATGTAACCTATTGTTTCTGGTGCTAATGGCACCAAACTGATGTGTAACCTATTGTTTCTGGTTCTAAGGGCACCAAACTGATTTGTAACCTATTGTTTCTGGTTCTAAGGGCACCGCACTTTCACCTGCCAGAAGATCCCTTCCTGCCTATTATAATGATAGGACCAGGGTCGGGGATTGCACCGTTCAGATCATTTTGGCAGCAAAGAGTGGGAGAAATTGAGAACACCATGCCGTCTTGTGAGAATACCATGCCGTCTTGTGAGAATACCATGCCATCTTGTGAGAATACCATGCCTTCTTGTGAGAACACCGTGCCTTCCTGTGAGAACAGCATGCCTTCCAGTGAGAACACCATGCCTTCCTGTGAGAACAGCATGCCTTCCTGTGAGAACACCATGCCTTCCTGTGAGAACACCATGCCTACCTGTGAGAACACCATGCCTTCCTGTGAGAACACCATGCCTTCCTGTGAGAACACCATGCCTTCCTGTGAGAACACCATGCCTTCCTGTGAGAACACCATGCCTTCCTGTGAGAACACCATGCCTTTATGTGAGAACACCATGCCGTCTTGTGAGAACACCACGCCTTCCCGTAAGTTTTTACAAATTGCCTATAGGCAAAATTCTTTTCCTTCTGGTGATATTCAATTTTTTAAAAGTTAATTTAAGAGATTCAAAGTGGCACATTATTATATTTTTCACAAGAATTTTAGCCTCCAAATTGTTTTTTTTATCGAATCTTTACAATTCTGACAAATTTCATAATATTTAAATAATTTATTTCAAATGGAAATGTTAAATTTTATCAATTTTAAAGAGCAACAATCTTAACAGTATGACTTAATAAAAAGAATATTGCCAAATAAACTGTTCTTTTCTTTATTGCTTTTATAGAAGCCAAAAATCATTTTGGAGAGATGGTACTTTACACTGGCTGCAGAACAGCTCAACACATGATTTATGCAGCTGAACTTGAAGAGATGAAACAATTGGGAGTTCTTTCCAACTATCATGTGGCCCTGTCACGGGAAGCAGCTTTGCCCAAGGTATCATAATTATTCATAAGTCTGTACAAAATACATAGCAGCTGATTCTAAGTTATCATTTAATTTTGACATTATGGCTCTTGATAAAAATTGTTTCATTGATTGCACATATTTTTTTTTGTATAGATCAATTAATCTTTAACATCTTCATGTATTATATTTTATGCTATAACCACAGCATCATTTTTTTTTAAATTTACCAACTTTTTATACCTTTGGAAATACAATGAATTTCATTTCTCTTTTTAATTTGGTTAACTTTGTACCGCGCTTTGAGCTTTTGGGGATGAAGTGTGATTTCAAATAAACTTCATTATTATTAATATAGAAATTGCTATACATTATTATTTTTTAACCAACCTGAAAATAAAAATATTTGTTGTCAAATTCGATAAATGTATTTTTCTATCATATTTATTTAAAATAAATTTAAATGGATTGTTTTCCATTTTTACCTGATAGATTTACGTACAAGACATCATTATCAAAAATGCGGCTGCTGTATATGAGATAATAATGAAGAAAGGTGGCCACTTCTATGTGTCAGGAGATGTGTCCATGGCACACGACGTGACCAGAGCACTGGAGCTTGTTCTGTGTCAACAAGGAGGAATAGAAAGAGAAGAAGCTGCCAAGGAAGTCATGAATTTGAGGGTAAAGGGACATTCATTTATATAACTTTGTCTTGCGCAAACTATTGAGGAATATGACCTTCGTATAATCTTCAGATTTTGGAGATACTATGGTTAATAGTACTTTATAATAATCATTAAATCATAGCAATAATTAATTGCCAACTTTGAATGCTTAAATGGGTATGCAATAAAAAGGATGTGCAAAGTCTGATTAATGTTGAAGAACATTTTAAGAAAGAAAAACTTAATGTGACTAATTAAAATTTTGGTTTATTTTAAAATAAAGTTAGAAAAGGAAAGACAAAGATCAATAAAATGCCAGTCACCTGTTTTATTTAGTTTCAACAGATAAATAAAAAGCATTTTCCACTTAACTAAATGAACATTTAAACATAATATCCCATAAACTTTACATTTCTCATCTCATCAAAAATAGGATCAAAACAGATTTCATGAAGACATATTCGGCAGCTTTGTGAGAAAAACTGGAGAAAAAAGATCTGAAGATCAGTAATTAAAAAAAAATTAAGGACACTGGAAGATCTGAAGATCAGTAATTGAGGACACTGAAATACCTAAATGCAACTGCCAAGCCTTCAAAACCAAATCCTTAAATGGAATGAACTACTATATTAAATTTAGAATTGATGAAATTGATTTATACAAAAATTAATTTGGGATTAAAATGAGTTACTCCTTTAAAATATTTAAAAGTGATCCATCATGATAAATAAATGTAGGCTTTGTGACAATGAAATTGATTGGTTGACTAAATTTATATTCTAAGAAATTGAAAGCATTTCTTTAATTCTTCCAAGATTGCTATTAAAAGTTTATTTCTTTGATCCATAGGATTATTTTAAAATGCTTAATTCAAATCATGTTTTAAAATGTGTACTTCAAGCTTGGGATTTTAACATTTTCAATAAATTTTTGCTTTAGAAATTAATCTTGCTTTCTTGGAAATAGTGTAATCAGAATGTGCTTGTTAGAAATTTAACTGATATGACCTTGATTATTAAGCTTTATCATGTATTTTTCTAGTTCAATTTTTTTAAACATTACATTCAGAATATTGGTTTCTTTCATCTAATTCTTTTACACATAATCACATCAGTGTCTTTTCCAATAGCAATATAAACACATCTATCAGATTGTACAATAAGTTGAACATGACACATGTAGAATGCATCTCGCTATAACTAGAAGAATATAGTACAGCCTTCATCCACACCCCTCACCAATTGCCCAACGACTGCTAGTATGCCATGGACCGTAGACTAGGGCTACAATAAATATATTTAACCAAATGTCAAAACTGACTGTGCTAGTATGCCATGGACCGTAGACTAGGGCTACAATAAATATATTTAACCAAATGTCAAAACTGACTGCTAGTATGCCATGGACCGTAGACTAGGGCTACAATAGATATATGTAACCAAATGTCAAAACTGACTGTGCTAGTATGCCATGGAAAGTAGACTAGGGCTACAATAGATATATGTAACCAAATGTCAAAACTGACTGTGCTAGTATGCCATGGAAAGTAGACTAGGGCTACAATAGATATATGTAACCAAATGTCAAAACTGACTGTGCTAGTATGCCATGGAAAGTAGACTAGGGCTACAATAGATATATGTAACCAAATGTCAAAACTGACTGTGCTAGTATGCCATGGAAAGTAGACTAGGGCTACAATAGATATATGTAACCAAATGTCAAAACTGACTGTGCTAGTATGCCATGGAAAGTAGACTAGGGCTACAATAGATATATGTAACCAAATGTCAAAACTGACTGTGCTAGTACGCCATGGACCGTAGACTAGGGCTACAATAGATATATGTAACCAAATGTCAAAACTGACTGTGCTAGTATGGCATGGACCGTAGACTAGGACTACAATAGATATATGTAATCAAATGTCAAAACTGACTGCTAGTACGCCATGGACCGTATACTAAGGCTACAATAGATATATGTAACCAAATGTCAAAACTGACTGTGCTAGTACACCATGGACAGAGTTGGCTATGGCTACAATAAATATATGTAACCAAATGTCAAAAGCCCAAAGGTGTTAAAAGTTTAATCGATAACCATAAAAAAAAAATTAATGTCACTTGAGACCCTTAGAAAGCAAAATGACTGTCTACAAATCGAAAGACCAGTGGTGTAAGTGTAAGCATAGGGCCCACCACAATCATTCCAACAACCCCTTCTTACACAATTTTATAGCAAAGCATGACATTAAAGTAGACATCAAAATTCATATATTCCCCATAGCCATCAATTAATTCAATTGAAGTTATTCAACCCATATCCCTTATATAGAGTATTCTGGTTCTCACAATAAATACTGGAAATGCAATATCTCTCACCCCCCCCCCCCCCCCCCCCCACTCTTGTAATTGTCACTGTAGTAATATTCCAGTTGCTCTCTAATAATCATCTCTCCTTCTGCCTTTAGCTCTGCACATCTAATTTCTTTCTCCACTTCTATTCTCAATTTTTCAAGTTTGTACTGTCTCCGTTTCTCTAACTCTTAAAGTTTTTCCTGTTATTATTGTTCAAACTTCCCTCTTATATATCCCACATATGTATCTCATATATTCCACATATTTATCTAATACACTCTACATGTTTATCTCATATATTCCACATGTTTATCTCCCGCATAATGGAGCAATATGCCCATGTCCATAAACGCTGCTATTTTCATCTCTATGGTTTCCATGGTAGCCCTTTTTCACTTTCAGTCCAGAGAAACTAATAGCTAACTCTAGTTAAGCCATGGCCGGCCCTACCGTTACTGGCGCCAGGGCCAGCTTATCTTTGGAACCCCTTTTGAGAATAATCATAAACATTTTTTGGAGGGAAAGAACTACTGGTCAGGTAATGAGTTATTTCCAATGTTTGTTTTTAACAAACAAACAAATAGGTTTTTCCTAACCTATTTGGACAGTGTGATCAATTAGCCTACTGATTTTTGCCCCTCTCCTTTAGATCAACACATTTTTTTTATTGACTTTCATATATTTATTTTCTTTGCAATATTATTTTGTATAGACAAAATTGCCAAATAATTCATTCTATCTTGAGACATGGATGATTGTAAAAGGTAAATTGTTATTGTGACATTAAAAGATTTACTGTTATTGTGACATTAAAAGATTTACTGTTATTGTGACATTAAAAGATTTACTGTTATTGTGACATTAAAAGATTTACTGTTATTGTGACATTAAAAGACTTACTGTTATTGTGGCATTAAAAAGGTCATCTGTTATTTTTATAGTAAAAAGGTATATTGTTATTGTGATGAGTAAAAAGGTATATTGTTATTGTGATGAGTAAAAAAAAAAGTCATTTGTTATGTGACATTAAAAGTTAAATTGCTATTGTGACATTTGTTGTGAATTGTGAGTTGTTGTGAATGAAAAGGTCAATTGACATTTAATTTAAGAAGAATATTGAAATCGAGACATGTTGAATAAGACCAAGAGTTTCAATGAGTTTTCTAGTAATCAAAGAATCGATATCAAGTAAGATAATTAAACTTTACATTATGAAAGGGTTGGCGCTGGGGTAGGCAAACGGAATGACCACCCATGGCCCCGCACGTAGCCACTATAACGCTATATACTACAATATAGCCTTGTCTACTCATAGTTCGTAACTATCTCAGGTAAAATATAATCAAATGAGCAGTCTGGTACCATTCCTCCAAAGTCAATCAGGGGAAGACCCTAATGTGAATAGCGAAGCTCAGTGGGGCCACCTTACAGATGGGTGACACCAAACGAAAATTTGACAGAGCTCACTCTGGTCGGTTTCATAACGCCCCTCAGTTAAATAAAAGAGCAGAATGCCACCAGACCAACTGCCACTCTGCCACCAATTTAAAAGTGAAGGCACATCTTGCACAGGTTGTTTGATATCAGTTTCTTGAAAATTGTATGCGTATCTTGCAATTCTGTGGTCACAAGCAAGATACAACTTCATTGAATAAAAGAAATTTTAATTGAAATGCTCTCTAATATAATATGACCAAGAGCTGAAAAGCACCTAATGCCATAATACAGAACACGTCTATATTTAAAAGCATTTGTATCTTATCTAGCATCAAAAACTCAAGAATGAGTTTGCAGATGTTTTGGAAAATCAGGTGAAGCAGATCTTTGTCATGAGGTATTTTGGAATCATGTTCGACTGCACACGTGACAAATCATACTCCAACCAGACGTCTGAGGTGATCAGGTATGATAACATCCAATATAGAAAGTTTGAGTGAGGGAAGCGTTTCCACTATTCGTTCCTTTAAAGTGTAAAAGATTTAATGTCCTTAAGTCGGAAATTTGAAAATAAAAATGGAAAGTTATGGACTGGCCATAATAATGTGACGAGCTCACGATTATGATAATGTCATAATGTCTGGAATTCATTAGGTGTACAAGCCCCAGTGGCATAGCTGGGGGAGTGGACCGCACCAAATTGAACAACTGCATATTTACGAGCGCACACTGCTTGGTCTAACAGAGCACACACTGCTTGGGCTAACAGAGCACACACTGCTTGGGCTAACAGAGCACACACTGCTTGGTCTATCAGAATTTCATACAATTATAAACGATCACATACTTAAATTTTTCGGTAGAAAGAAGATTACGGTTTAAAAAGAGAGTGAAAGGAGAACAATTAATAGATGATGCACTCTCTCTGCGAGAAGAAAACAGAAGGGAGATGCTGAAGTGAATTGTTCGCTTTTATTCTGAACTCCATATCAGATCAGCGATCAAGGAAGTAACAGATATGTTTGGGGCTGTTTAACTCAAGAGATCAGCAAGTGAAGAAGAGTAATTGGTGAACGTTCCAAAATTAACCTCTTTCTATGATGAGTTATCAGAGGTTAAACTTGAAAAGAAATACCTAGACTTAGACGACATTAAAGTTATTTAAAGGCCCATGATTTTGAGTTTCACAAAGTCATGGGCCGGTAAGTATTTGATGTTCTGAAATTCATAGCTGAATGGGAATTCCTAGAATTTCTTACAATCCTCTCGCTAAGCCTTCAATTGTTTCTTACGATCTGAGGCTTCATGTCAGCGGAGATTTTCAAAACTAAGGCTTATTAAGACCTATTTACGACCCACCATGGGACAGTCAAGGCTTTGTGATCTGGCTCTACTATTAATTGAAGGTGATAAGGGGAAGGATATTGAATTTGTTCAAGTGATTGACATGTTTGCAACTTTGAAGACCAGGAAATTTTTAATAAAGTAAATTTAATGTGAAAATAACTATAACTTAACGTTCTTACTTATTCTTCTTCTATATTGTGATGCCCCCCCCCCCCCTTCCGATTAATGTATTGATCATTCTGGCACCTTTAAATTGTTAAAAACAGTTATTAAATACATTTACCTCCTGACCATTAATTAATTTGTTTTTGTTCTTGCCATTGATATACTTTACCACAACAAATCTATCTTGGATTACCGCACTGGATGACACCAACTCTAGCTACGCCACTGACAAGCCATACTGACACAATGTCTGGAATTCAGGCCAGTGTACAAGACTTACTGCCACAATGTCTGGAGTTCATAGAGGTGTACAAGCC